AAAACCTGAAAAAGATATGATGTGAGAATTAACCAACAATAAAGAAAAAAATTGAAGAACCCATGGAGAAATTAAAACTATATCACAAGATCCTCAAAGAATAGAGGTGGCGAAGATGTAATAAAGAATGTTAGGAATTAAAGGTAAGTAATGACCCCCAAAACAAAATTAAAGTATAAAAGCAGGCTAGATAAGGAAGACAGACCTAAAAGCTATTTTCAACACATAAACAATTTGAACTCCTGCAGTAGAAAGAACAATGAAGCAATTGCTATTGTTAAGCTATAACAATAAAAAAAGTTTCTGGAAATAAAAGAAAACTTGTCTACATATTGAATGAGCACACTGTATACCTGGAAATGTGATCTAGAATAGTCAACTTTGAGACACAGGATGGTAAAATTATTAGCTTTCAATGAAAAAAATTTAGGTATGCTTTGGCCCTAAAGGCAGAAAAATAAATCACATTCAAAGTAACAAAACTGGGTTGGCATCAAATTCTTGACAATGATGAAATGTACTGGGTCTACGTAAGACTAAGCATATTCAATTTCCCCAACATTTAAAAAAAATGCTCTCTCTTTAGACATGATTACAAAAGGAGTCTCAAGCCTACTGGACTCTAATCTAATCTTGAGAGAGATGTGACTTCATTGCAATGAAACAAAGGGCTGATGAGCTTTTTTCCACATGGTTTTTAGTAGCAATGGGCACCTCTCTATTCCCTGTTATAAGACACAGCCCTAAATAAAAAGTTTTTATGATCTTAGGAGTTTAGAAAATGCTGGTTGATGGATCCCTCGTCTACAACACTAATAATCTTGGTTGGGAACACACAAAGCAAGGTGCAAATTACAGGGGCAAAGACAATGATTACTACAAGCATTTAAGCAAAGTATTAAATTCTAATAGCTCTGGAGTCACAAATCCCAACCCTGACAGGCGTTAGCTTTATGACCTCATCAATTATATAACTTCTTAGTTTCAAATTTCTCATTTTTCAAATGTATTTTTTCAGATCTTTCTTTCAGACTAATGATAATTACACTAATATGTGGATACATATATGTAGATTACAGTATATGAATTAACTAAGGGCTCCCAATAGTTTACAATCAATTTTATTTAGCTTGGAGAAGAATGATATTAGTGAGTTTACATCTAGTATGTCAATATATTTTTATCTTTTTTGAGAAATCTTTGTAAATTACATTTTTTTCATTTATTGGCATTAATATATTAATCACTAACAACATATTATCAAATTTTTATTATACATACAATTGCTTCATTCTAGAGCTTATTTTCTTTCAATTGGATTTCTTCCTTAAATCTATAGACCCACAGTAATTACCTTAAAAGAGGATACTTGCTCATAGAATTTGTAGTAAATTCTGGACGAGATAAGTAACTTTGTGGGAGAATACATCTAAAAGATTTATCAATTATGAGGAATATTTCCTACAGTGTAATCTGATAAAGAAAGTTTGGAGTTAACACTTAAAGAGAGGTGAGAATTATATTGGGTAGTCATAATTAACAACTTTACTTGCCCAAGGAGTTTGATGTTAACACTAATGGAGGTGAGAATTGAATTCTGAAATTTGTGAATAAACTGACTGTGTGAAGGAAGACCAGGAGGATTTGCTAAAAGGACTTATAAGGAAGCCAAAGGCTCATTCACCAGCCTTTAAGCAAAGAAATGTAACTGGAGAAGCTAAATATGAATTAACTATAGAAGTAAATTTCCTTTTTTTCTTAAAAGGCAGAAAAGTCTCACAAAGGTCGAAAGAAGATTTTTAAATTATAGCTATAATCTTTTCAAAGATTCTATAGACTTATAAAAGATTATGGCAGTAGTATAGTAATGATACAAAATTACACTGACTGTAAGATCCAGGAAAAATAAGTCATGTGGGGAAAAGCACAAAAGATGGCTGTTAATGACAAGATGCCTTCCTCAGTGTATCCACATTTCCCTTTAAGGCTTAATTTATAATACAAGTATATATGTAAAGAATTTTTCTTGCAACTTTCTTTGTTTTTTTTATCTTGTCACCTTGAAATCTCTGATCTACTCTGGCTTCTGTCATATGGCTCCCATTAAATACTTTTTTGGCCCAGGGACAGCAAATCTCAAGACCATTACTCAATCATAACAATTTAATAGATCGTCCTTTACAATTTATAAAATGCTATCACATAAGTTTATCATTTCATCTAATGAACTGCAAGGCATACCTCTCCAGCTCATTATCTAAGTAATTCAAACATACAAATTTATAATCTAGACATGACCATTCCTATAATTCCCCAAACTTCTTTATACAGTCAAAAGTCATCTTCATCCTTGAATAATTTACTCATTTTATAATACATTTATACCAACTTGCTAATTTGAACCCCATCCTAATTCTACACAATACCTATTCCCCAACCTTGTGAAAATCTACCTTAACTATATCATATATAGTTTGTCAGCTTTCCCCAACTCCAAAAGGATCTTCAATGTTACATGACATCCCCTTATGTAAGCCTTCTATTCTCTTGGCTCCTCAATTTCTTCTAAAATATAAGTTTTAATAAATTAGCCAAAAGAAATCAAATAAATAAAGGTTTTTATGAGCCAGGTAACATTTAAAAATTAAGAGCCTGTATTTAATGATTCACTTAACATAATGAGCTAAGTAAAATACTGCCCAAAGGATATAAGTAATTTTCCTAAAATATATGTAGCATTAGAAAATAGATACGTAGTACAATTTTCCTCTTGGTGTAAACTATACTGCTATACCAGTATGTCTTTTAAGGTGGTGATTTTGTCTAAGTATAGCATTGCAGCATGTATAAGGTATATACACTCTCTCCATTTGTGTGGTAGCCCAATTATTACAACAGTGCTCAGCGACTACTGAGAAATGGTCTTCAGATCTGACAGAATTCAGAATTATCTGAAGTACTGTTTATTTCAATTTTTTTGTTTTCTCAACAACATCTAGTCATACCCCATCTCATTACTACATTATAATAAAGTCCTTCTTGAAAAACTTTAGAATACTGAAGTGTTCTGCAAGTTAATATAAAATTGATTTTTCATTAATGCAACTTACTAACAACCTTAGTTTCTACTACAGATCAAAAATTTTTAAAAGCCTCTACAATGAATATACAATGTGTGAAGTCTAGTCAAAGCATTCCTCAAAAGAAAGCATTCAGTTATGCAGAAACAGAGAGTCTACACTGTCCTTAAACATGGAGGAAAAGAAATATATAACATGAAAACTTTTAAGAAAGAATTTCCAGGCACAGATGATTTCACTGGAGAATTCTATCAAACAAACAAAGAAGAATTATCATTAATTTTACACAATCTCTTTAAAAATTTAAAGACAGGAGAATATTCTCTAGTTCATTTTATGAGGTCCATATCCTGAAACACAAACTTGAAAACAAAAATTTTAAAAATGAAAACTACAGATCTATATTTATTGTGAACTTAGATACAAAATTCTTTGAACAAATACTAGCAAGTAAACTATGGAAAACAAACATCCAATTAGAGATGAGCAAAAGATATAAACAGATATTTCCTCAAAGAAGTGATAAATAAGCATATGAAAACATATTTAATAAGATTAATAAGCATATGAAAAGAGCTTCAGCACCATTAGCCATTAAGAGAATGTTCATAAGAATTTTATTTATACAGGTTGGATATTTTTTTCTCAAAAACACTTTGGAGTTAGAAGTGTTTTGGATTTCAAGCTTATTCCAGATTTGGAATACTGGGGGGAGTCAATCTTGGAGCGAGGAGTCAAATCTACATATGAAATTCATTTGTATATACCCATCTTGACAGTAATCACAAACACTATTTTTAGTATGCCTGCATTTTTACTGTGACCTGGCACATGAAGTCAAATGTGGGATTTTCTACTGTACCATCATGTCAGTGCTCAGAGTTTAAGGTTTTAGAACATTATAAATTTCAAATTTTCAGATTAGAGATGATCAACCTATAATATTACAGGTTGTTATTTCAACCTATAATAGAAATAACAAATATTCTTTAATAGGTGGATGGTTAAATAAACTGCATCCATACCACAGAATACCAGTCATAAAAAGAATGAATTTTTGATAAATGCAAACACTTCTATGGATTTTGAGGGAATCGGGGAAAGTTACAAAAAAACAAAACCAAAAGGTGATACATTGTGTGATTCCATTTTCATAACATTCTTGCAAAAACAGACATACAGAAATGGAAAACAGATTAATGATGGAATTAGGAGTATGTCCTCTATGAAGAAGAAGAGGTATGAACACAGTAATACAACTGTCTTGTATCTTTACTTAGCAATGTGACATCTGTTCCTGATACTGACCATGGACTAGAGGAAAAACTAGGGTAAAGACACACAGGATTTCTTGGTAATTTTTCTTAGAATTATCTCAAGCTAAAAAGTTTTACTAAGAATGGATTTCTTACAAATATATTTTTACTTGACAAAAATTTTCATTAGTTTCTTCATCCAGATAAATATTTGATTCACTTCAGATTGTTTACTTCTATAGCCTCAGAAAATGTTTCTAGTCATTGAGAGCATCAAAAGGTAAATATTAAAGCAAGTCTTCTCTGTGAGATTGTTAAAATAGAGTATATTTAAGGATATTCCTTAAATAGAGTATATTTAAGGAAGCCATTTCATTGACCATATATAGGCAGGTGATCTCCAAGGCTACACAGAGGACATAAAGATGACAATTTTAATGAGCACATATGAAATAGGTCAGTATTTTCTATGTGCACAACAAAGAAAAACCTACTGGTTATTTTTTTAAATGTACTGATTTTGAGCCTACTCTTGAATATACATAGTAATATTTTACAACACTAAACAATTATTTAATTCCCTTGCATATTTATCTTAAAATATATATGAATATACAAGCCTAGGATAGTAGTTTTTCGAAAAAATTTTAAAGACATAAATTACCTGCAAACAGAACACTGCCGCTGAGGCTGAAGAGCAGTGAACATAACGATCATGGAATAGTTTCGAGGTGGTGCCTTTATGAATTTTCGGAATTTATCACCATTCATTCGGAAGATTGAGCGCCTGGAACTCCATTCCATCAATTGTTCTACTTTTTCAGCCAAAAGATTCTGCAATTAAAAACAGGAATTTATATTTCACACAAGGTTAAATGTTCTTTTAGTTTGGATTTAATATTAACAAAATTACAATGAGGATATAATTTACCCCAAATTACTTTCTATTAAAAGTCCTTTTGGTGAAAATATTCATTATTAATCAGAAGAGTATGAAATATTTTTCCTAATAATTAGAAAGTCTACTAAAAACGTTAAAAGTAAACCAATCAAATTTCTACTTTCAGAAGATGGAAAAGACATTTTCCTAATCTTCCCACTAAATATACCTAAAAATTCTGTTATATAAACAAACAAAAACACTTAAGAAGTCTTTGAAAGGTGCAGAGAAGAAAGCCTAGTTAGAGACCTCAGGAACTGAAGACACTCAAACAAGGCTCAAACACACTCAAACTTCCAGCTTACCAAAGGCAAAGGGGTAAATGAGGTAGAAAATACTGATATCAATCACCTGGACAACCTGAACTGATAGCACAGGAAGTAACAAAACAGATGGAGGCGGCTCTAGAAAAAGTCAAAACAAATAACTTCCTAGATAACTGCAGAGATAGTGAGCAGAATGAATGACATCATTAGAAAATCTAAAACAGAAACAGATAAAAAACCATGATAGAAGCCATGAATGCCCACCATAAGAAAGTCATGGAAACCATGAATGTCCAACACAGGAAAGAAATGCAACCCATGAAACAGATTCAAACAGATATCCAGGAGATTAAAAATTCTAGTGGAAGCATACACAACAGACTGCGCCAATCTGAAGACAAGATAACAGATATAGAAGACAGGATGGAGATCAGTGCCCATGAAAAGAAGGATCTATTAAAAATAATAAGGGAACATAAGAAATCAATCCACAGCTCCTAGATGATACAAAGAATAATTATGTAAGACTGATAGGAGTCCATGAAAAAGCAGTGGAAAGTAGAAATGACATTAAAAAAAAAAACTGTTCATGGAATGAATGATAGAAACCTTCCCAAACAGAGCAAAAGAAGTTGGCATACTTATAAGTGAGGCATACAGGACTCCAACTAGTTACAGTAAAATAAAATCTATACCTAGACATATAATAAACAAGATCCTGAAACCTCAACAGAAGAACAAAATACTACAGGCAGTTAGAAAAAAGAAAAAATTACATGCAAAGGAAAACCTATAAGAATCACAGCAGATTTTCAACACAAACCCTCAAGTCAAGGAGAGCCTGGAGTGAGGGATATCAAGCTTTAAAAGAAAACAACATCCAATCTAGCTTGAAACTATCTTTCAAAATTGCTGGAGAAATAAGATGTTTTCATGACAAAGAACACCTAAGAGAAACTTTATGAATACCAAACTAGCACTCCAAACAATTCTAAATAATACCCTAGAAAAAGACAATAAAGATCACAACTCCATGAGGCCCAACAGAGCAAATCCAGCGGGCAAGGTAAGAAATTAAAGGAAGGGGGAAAAAATTTTAAAAAGCCAACAACAGAATAATAACATAATGATGATAAGTCAATAAATATCAGTTACAACTACCAATGTTAATGGCCTCAGCTCACCAATTAAAATAAAAGACTAGCAGAATTAAGAAGCAAAATCCAACAATATGCTGTATATAAGAAAAGCACCTAGTGCCAAAATGAACTCATAGATTGAACGTAAAAGGCGGGAAAACAGTACTCCATGAGATTGGAACCCAGAAAAAAGCAGGGGTAGCTATCTTATTTGCAGACAAAGTAAATTTCAAAACAAAACTAATTAAGAGAGACGAAGGTCACTGCATTCCTGCAAAGGGAACAATCCAACCAGAAGAGATGACAATCATAAACATACATGCATAAAATACTAGCGTCCCCAACTATACAAAACAAAAATTAAGGAACATGAAAAACCAAATAAGCACTAAATCAATTTTAGTGGGGGACCTAAATTCTCCACTGTCACAAATAGGTCAATTACACAAAAAAATCAACAATGAAATATTACAAATGAACCAAATTTTTGAACAAATGGACTTAACAGACTTAACACAGTGTTCTACCCCACAAAATCAGAATATATATTCTTTACAGGTGCACATGGCAATTCTCCAAAATATACCACATACTAGCTCATAGAACATGTTTAAGTAAATGCAAAGGAATTGAAATTATTCCCTGCATATTATCAGACCGTAATGCAATTAAACTGCACATTAATAGCAAAAGAAAATAAAAGAACTTCACAAAAACATGAAATTGAATAATACTCTTCTGAATAACCTATAGGTCACAAGAGGAAATTAAAGAAGAAACTTGACAGTTTTGACATATAAATGAGAATGCCAATACAACATACCAGAATCTCTAGGACACAATGAAAACAGTTCTCCCAGTGAAATATATAGCAGCAAACGCTTGGAAAACAGCTCAAATAAACAACCTAATTCTGAATCTTAAACTTCTAGAAAAAGAAAAGCAAGACAAACTGAAAGCTCATACAGGGGAGGAAATTATAAAGTTCAGAGCAGAAATCAATGCAATGGAGAATAAGAGAATGACACATACAAAAAAATCAATGAATCAAAGGGTTGATTTTTTGAATAAATAAAATTGATAAACCCTTATCCAATCTTACCAAAAAAGGAAAGAAAAGGCTCAAATCCATGCAATTAGGAATGAAAAAGGTGAAGTCACAACAGATCCAGCAGAAATCCAGAGAATCAACAATACCTACTTAGAGAACTTTAATTTAATAAAATGGAAACACAGAAGAAATAGATTTTCTAGATACTTATGAATTACCAAATTTGAATGAAGATGTAAAAATTCTAAACACATCAATTAAAATCAGTGAAACTGAAAACATAATTAAAAATTTACCAACAAAGGAAAAGCCCAGGTCCTGATTGCATCACTGCTAAAATTCTACAAGGCATTTAGAGAACTATTGCCACTACTCTTTAAACTTTTCAATGAAATTAAAAGAGAAGCAATACTTGCAAATTCATTCCTGGAAGCAAGTGTTACTTTGATTCTAAAATCAGGGAAAGACCCAACCAAAAAAAAAAAAAGAACCAATCTCCCTAAAGAACATAGACACAAAAATCCTTATTAAGATACTGGCAAACAATACAGATGGTCATCAAGATCATACACCCTGGCCAAGTCAGGTTTATCCCACGGATGCAAGGATGATTCAACATATGTAAATCAATAAATGTAATACACTATATAAACAGAGTCAAGGACAAAAACCGTATGATCATCTCAAATGATGCAGAAAAAGCATTTGATAAAATTCAACACCCATTCATGATAAAAAAAAAAGATCTTGCAGAAAATTGGAATAGATGGTGTTTATCTCAAATTCATAAAGGCTATCTCTGAAAAACCAACAGCCAACATACGAAATGGTCAAAAACTGAAAGCCATCACACTAAAATCAGGAACAAGGCAAGGATGTTCACAATCACCACTCCTGTTCAATACAGTTTTAGAAACATGAGCCACAGTAATTAGACATGAGAATGAAGTAAAAGGAATAAAGTTAGGAAAGGAATAAATTAAACTGCCATGATTTGCTGATGATATAATACTCTACATAGAATATGCAAAGAACTCTGCCAAAAGACTTCTAGACTTGGACAGGTTCAATAGAGTAGTTGGATACAAGGTGAATACTCAAAAATCAATAGCATTCTTGTACACAAGTAATAACTCACTGAGAGAGAAATTAGGGAAATGATCCCTTTCATAATAGCATCCAAAAAAGTGAAATACATAACAAAGGAAACAAAAGACTTCTATGTTGAGAGCTATAAAACTCTAAAAAAAAAGAAACTGAAGAGTAAGAAAATGGAAAGACATCCCTTGTTCCTGGGTAGGAAGAATCAAATTAGTAAAAAAGGCCATACTTCCAAAACTGCAGTGCAACACCTATTGAAATACTAACAGTACATTTCACAGAACTAGAGAAAATAATCCAAAAATTCATTTGGAAGCAGAAGAGACCTAGACTAGCAAAAGCCATTCTAGGCAACAGAGACATGGCAGGGGATATCACAATCCCCAACTTGAAACTATACTACAAAGCTACTGTGATAAAAACAGCATGGCACTGACAAAGGAACAGACTCAAGGATCAGTAAAACATATTAGAAGATGCAGCAACAACTCCTGACATACTCAGCTGCTATCTCATCTTTGACAAAGTCGCCCACCATTCCCATAAATGGTGTTGGAAATACTGGATTTCAACTTCCCAAAGATTAAAACTAGGTCTGTATCTTTCACCATATACTAAACTAGAATTAAAGTAGATTAAAGATATAAATATTAAAACGGAAACACTAAACTTGTTGGAAGATAAGCTAGGTAGAACTCTTGAGGACACTGGCATAGGAAAAGACTTTAGGAAAAAATCCTCAGTAGCATGGGAATTAGTGAAAAGAATCAACAGCTGGGATCTCATCTTATTAAAAAGCTTGTGCACTGCTAGAGAAACCACCAACAGAGCTAAGAGACAATCTAAAATGTGGGAAGAAATTGTTACCACCTGTTCCTCAGACAAAGGAGTACTATCTAGAATATATAAAGTACTCAAAAAAAAATAAGACACCCCAAATATAAAGATCCAATTAAAAAATGGGCATCTGAAATTAACAGACATTTCTCAAAGAAGTAAAAGGAGTAAATAAATACATGAAAAAATGTACAACATCACTGGTCATTCAAGAGATGCAGATGAAAACAACACTGAGATTCCATCTTACCCCAGAACAAATGGCTGCTATCAAGAAATCAACCAGTAACAAATGCTGGTGAGTGTGTGGAGAGATTGTTGGTGGAGTGCAGACTGGTGCAACCACTGTGGAAAGATGGAGTTATCTTAAACTGGGATGAGAGTCCCATTTGACCCAGCTATTCCCTTGCTAGGTATCATCCCAAAAGAATCATAACCACAGTAATAAAATAAAAGAATCATACCACAGTAATATATGCTCACCCATGTTTAAAGCATCA